CACTCTTTCTATTATTTTCTGTTTTTATTGTTTAACACATAGATTATACTAATTTAATATATTATTATTATACACAAAATGAAATAATAAAATTCACATGTCAACTAATTAATATAGAAAGTGATAAATAGAGCGACATAAATAGTGATATTAGCATTTCTCGATTAAAAACTCTGCATTTTGGACCGTCCGATGGAACAAAAGTTGAGATCAGATCCAACATCCACTAAATGAAGTCCACATAAGTGCGCGTGCATGCGCGCCTTCGCCTTCTCATTAAAGATTCCTTTCACAAAGCCAAGACGCCAACATCAGGCGTTGAAAAAAGCTGGGCAAGCAACAGAGAACCGGACCCACACACACACACGCACACAGGCCCATGCAAAATGCAAAGCCTAAAGCCTCTACTCCGCAATGCCCAAAAGTTCAAAATTAGCTCCTCTTCTTCTATACATTCTATAACAATTCAAAAACAGATTAATAATTATTATAATAATAGTTCTTGGAAACAATTGGTTAATCTTAGCCGTATTTTAATGTTCATTAATTGGTTAGTTAATTAGGCGGTGTCACTAAAAATATCTAATCCAATGGGCGGGAATAAGTGCAGCTCAGTTTCAAAATCCGAAACAAATTACAAAACCAAAAAGCTGAAAAAGGTCGATTTTTGTTTTTTGTTTTTTGTTTTTTTAGGCCCAAGTCTAGAATCCCACAATCACATGCTCTACCTTCCTTTTTAAGATATATAAATATATATATACACGCATACATATATAGATATGTGTGTGTGTAATGTATGTATTTTTGAATATTTGAAAGCAAATGAAAGGTAAAGCAATAGAAACGCATATTATACACATTTATGATTTATTTATGTGCTGTTGTTGCTTTGCCTTTGTGGTTGTTATCTCTGTGTAAAACCAAACTGACATTCTACAGATTTAGGCAGAATTTTTTTAATTTTTTTTATTAATAAGTTACTTCAATCTTAAAAATAATCAAGTCTGAACCCAATCTCTCTCCCTCTCTCTCTCTCTCTCTCTCTCTCTTCTTTTCAGTTGTTACTAGCTTCCGATAAATTCACTGGCTGTTCTGGCGTCCAATGCACAGTCAAAGGTAATTCTAATCTGGGTCTTGTTGCTTCTAATATTTTATTGGTTGAGTATATATCAAGCTGCAAATTTATTTCTTTCTTCTGTTACAATTTATTGTTTGTTTCCATGGGGAGTTGTGATATGAGGCTATTTTGCTTCTTTTTATCTGATGGGTCGTTTCTATTTGGGATCCTTTGCATTGGGTTTTTCCAGAAATTTCAAATTTTCAATTCTGTTCTGTGCATACATGCTTTGTACTGGAACATTGTTTCATTCATTCGTTCATTCTGAGGTTCTTCTCTGAAAGTGAATTCCCGTACTGGGTAGTTTTCTTTATGTGATTCAAGAAGTGGGTCATTTGTTAATTTCACTACTTGGTGATTCTGGAGCTAGAATTCCTCCTAAATGTAACTCATTTGTAAGTGGTCTTTGAGTCATTTTTCTGTTTGCGTTCTTAAGCTACAAAAAATTTGTTTTGCGAAGCTGCGAGACCAGATACTACACTTGATTTTATTTCTTTAGCCAAAATGGCAAGAAAGGTATAAGAGAGTGATAAAGAAAGTATATTACTTTTTTAATTTATTTTTGATGTTGTTGTTGGCTGATATTTCATGGTTGGAATATGCTTTTTAGCTGTTTCTTGTTTGTTTTGTGATGGGTTTTGGGGAAGTTGTTAAACAGAGATGAATATATGCGCAGGTGAATGCTTTTTGATGTGGTAGTTGGTTAAACCCAAGGGCCTGATAATGGAAAAACGGAAATGGTTGTGGAAGAGGAAGTCCTCGGAGAAGAGTTCCTGTGAAACTGAAAGTTCAGGCTCAATATCTTCACGTTCTGAGATGTTTTCTGACGATCAGGTAAACTGAAATGACGCAAAAATTTGAAAGACTTTTCTATTGTTGTTTGGATTTTTGTTTCTATCGGGACTCAAGAAGTTAAATTTCAAGAAACGGAGTCAATTTAAAAAAAAAAAAAAAAAAAAAAAAAAAAACTTTTGTTTCTTATACCATTTTGTTAGGATGATTTCTTCTCAGTAAATTGACCTCTTGTGCAAGTTCTCATTTCACATTGAATTTCTGGGATTTGGTAATTGGCTCTTGATATTGCTACTGCAGAAATATGTAGCCCTGAATCTAATAGGTTTATATCCTGCTTTACTGTAGAAATCTATAGGTTTAAATCCTGATTTCTGCTCACCCTTACTTCTTGTAGTTTTGTAAAATAACTAATAAAGGATCCTGAAACCAGAGGCATATACTAATTCATTGTCTTGAGGCATATTATTTGACACTTCATCACGTAGCATGAATAATTAAGTTGTGTTTGAGTTATCTAGTACTTATTTATTTTTATGCTCGGGCTGCCTTTATTGTGTTACCTTGATTTGGTTTCATTAGCCCAAATGGAGATGTGGTGCCGAAACAGATGAGTAACACGACTAGTATGGAAACTCTGGTTCTAGGTGAAAGTTCAAATGTATAACAAAGTTTTGTGATAGCAAATATTGGCACCTTGCCTTTGCAAAAAGGTACAAAACCTGACTGGTTAATGGATAAAAACAAAACAATTGTGTACTCTCTTGTTCAGCGGCTTCACCTTTTCTTACGATAGATTCCATCTGGGAGTTTTATCCTCTTTCACTCTTTCTCATAGCATCTATGATGCATGAGGTCTAAGTCTTGCTTCATTATTTTGATAAAAGTCCACTGTACTGCCTTGGATTCTAGTTTTACTGCTGGTGGAAAAGGGTGGGGGTAGAGTTTGGGTAACCTTGTAAAATGATGTCGTGACTTAGAGAGGGCTGAAAGAGACACATGAAGGGTCGGCCATACGCGCGCACACACACACATACGGCAAAAAAATGATACTGAATTGGACATTGTACCCCTGCCTGTAAGGCACTGAAAAATAGGAATCTATCCATGCTGTAAAAGTTATATTTGTCTTTGGAGAAGCCCACATATACTTAACTACCGTGAACATGTCTAAATTGTAAACTATGTCTTGGGCTCTTCAATTGTCAAGTTTACCAAGATAAATATTTTTTTCACATAGTGGTACGTTCAAAAAGGAATTCAACCTAGTTTCTAATTCTATTGTAATTTAATTTATTTATTTATTACTTTCACTGTCTGTTTGTCTGCGGTGAAGAAATCCATGACCTAGCTGGTGAAATCCAGCCTAATATAGACCCAAATGCGCTCATCCATGCACTAATACCGGCAATAATTGAATGTAGGATAAAGAGTTTTCACTATTTCTTGTGGTTCTTTTTGTTTTCTTTTTTCTTTTTCTTTTTTAAATGCATATTTCTAATGATTCTAGCATTCAGAAGAGCTTCTTTTTATTTTTTATTTTTTCGGTTAAAAATGCTGATTCACCAATAAGTTTTCCATGATCTAGTTGAAGTTTTGGCGTTTGGAATAACTGTAGTTGACGAAGTGGTTCTTCTTCATTTTTTCTCCTTTTTTTCTTTTCCTTTTTTTTAAGCATATGTAACCTTTTTTTTTTGTTCATTCTGACATCATTGAAGCAGGAGGCACTCAAGGGATCTCCTGATCATAACACTCAGTCACCTGAAGTATCGTCAAAATCTGTAGCCAGTAATGAAAATGTTGATGAAAGTTCTATGAAATCAGAAGACGTTAATAACAGCATGAAGTGTCTGACAGAAAAATTATCGGCCGCTCTTGTAAATGTTAGCGCCAAGGAAGACTTGGTGAAGCAGCATGCGAAAGTTGCGGAAGAAGCAGTTGCAGGTAAGTTGTATGGTGTTGCATTGCAACATTGGACGTCTAAAATATGATTCTTTCATTTTAGCATTTCTTAAACAGTTCAATTCTCTTACATTTTTAGGCTGGGAAAAGGCAGAAAATGAAGTGGCCACATTAAAACAACAACTTGAGGTTGCAGTTCAGCAAAAGTCAGCACTAGAAGATCGGGCAAGCCATCTTGATGGGGCCCTAAAAGAATGTGTTAGGCAACTGAGACAAGCAAGAGATGAGCAAGAGCAAAAAATCCAAGAAGCTGTCTCAAAGAAAAGCCGGGAGTGGGAGTCTACCAAATGCAAACTTGAGAATCAACTTCTTGAGCTCCAAAACAAAGCTCAATCTGAGAAAGCTGAGTCTTCTGCTCGTATTGATCCTGATCTTTGTCTTAAGCTTGAATATTTGGAGAAAGAAAACTCAGCGTTGAGGCTTGAGATAGAAGCTCAAATGGAGGAGTTGGAAGTAAGGACAATTGAAAGGGACTTGAGTACTCAAGCAGCTGAAATGGCCAGCAAGCAACATCTAGAGGGCATTAAGAAGGTTGCTAAGCTTGAAGCTGAGTGTCGAAGGTTCAAAGCAATGGCTTATAAATCATCCACGGGTTATGACAACAAATCAACTGCTGCTTCCTCGATTTATGTTGAGTCATTCACAGACAGCCATTCAGACAATGGGGAGCGCCTGAATGCGGTGGACGCCAACATGCACAAGATGAATAGCTTGGAGTTAAACAAGTGTGAGCAGAATTTATCAGATTCTTGGGCGTCGGCCCTTATTGCTGAACTTGATCAATTTAAGAATGAAAAGGCTTTTAATAAAAGTCTTCCAAACTCTTCTATAGAAATTAATTTGATGGACGATTTTCTTGAGATGGAACAACTCGCTGCATTGCAGCCCACTGAAAGTAGATGCAGTTGCTTGGAACCCGAAATTGTTGCTAGAGATTCCAAAAATAGAGAAAGTGCCTTGAGAGCTGAACTTGAAGCAATGGTTCAACGAACAGCCGAATTGGAAGAAAAATTAGAGAAGTTAGAAAGAGAGAGGGCTGAACTGGAGGCTAAAGAACCCAACGACAGAGAAAGTGTTCTAAGAGCAGAACTTGAAGATAGGATTCATCAAATAACTAACTTGGAAGGGAAATTGGAGAAGTTGGAATCAGAAAAGGCTGAATTGGAGGATCAAGAAACCGCTCTGAAAACCGAACTTGAAGCCAGGATTCATCAAACGACTGAATTGGAAGATAAGTTAGAGAAGTTGGAAACAGAAAAAGCTGAGGTGGAGTATGTAGACAGCATCTTAAGAACGGAACTTGAAGCCAGGATTCATCGAATAGATCAACTGGAAGAGAAATTAACGAAGTTGGAAACAGAAGTGGATGAGTCCAGAAATGGAGAAAGTGTCCTCAAAACCGAACTGGAAGCCATGTTTCATCAAAAATCTGAACTAGAGGAGAAATTAAGGAAGTTGGAAATAGAAAAGGCTGAATCCATAAATGGAGAGAGTGCCCTGAGAAGTGAACGTGAAGCCATGATTCATCAAACAGCTGAATTAGAAGACAAATTAAAGATGTTGGAAACAGAAAAGGCTGAATCTAGAAATGGTGAGAGTGTCCTGAGAACTGACCTTGATGCCATGATTTATCGAACAGCTGAATTGGAAGAGAAACTAGAGAAGTTGGAAACCGAAAAGGTTGAATCTACAAATGGAGAGAGCGTCCTGAGAACTGAACTCGAAGGCATGATTCATCGAACAGCTGAACTGGAGGCGAAACTAGAGAAGTTGGAGGCAGAAAAGGTTGAAGCCAGGAATGGAGAGAGTGCATTTAGAGCGGAACTTGAAGCCATGATTCATCGAACAGCTGAACTGGAGGAGAAACTGGAGAAGTTGGAGATGGAAAAGGCCAAACTCGAGGCTGTAACAAAAAGTGAATGTAATGAGGCTTCACAACTTAAGCTGATGGAAGCAGAAATGAAATTGGAGGTGTTGAAACGAGAATTGGAAATTGCAAAAGAATCAAAGCTAACTGTTGAGTCTCAGCTCGTCAGCTTGGAAGCAGAAGTTCTGACAATGTCCGCAAAGGTCAACCACTTGGAAGAAGATATTCAGAGGGAGAGGGCTTTATCTGCAGAAATTTCTATGAAGTGTCGAGAATTAGAGGAGGAGCTATCAAGAGAGAGAGAGGAAGTTAAACTTCGGCAAAATGCAGGCTCTAATGGTGAATTAAAGATAAAACAGGTTGGTTCTTATTGACTAAACTATATGATTTCATTCTCTTTTAGTCATTTTTATTACTCGTCTCAGACTAACATGATTGTAATCAACGTAGTTAATCAGTGTGCTTAATCATTGCGACACTTTCTACTGCAGGAGGACATAGCAGTCGCTGCAGGCAAACTTGCTGAATGCCAGAAGACGATAGCGTCTCTCGGGAATCAGCTTAAGTCTCTAGCAACACTAGAAGATTTCTTGATCGACGCTGCGAACCTACCTGAGTTCTCTGCAGCTTCGTCGCTGGTTCCTAGAACTGGAGAGCAGTGGAAGTTGCACTCTAACCAGACATTTTCACCTAAAAGAGATTCTAATCCTTCAAAAAAAGACAATGACAGTTGTACTACTTCACTAAAACAAAACCAAGAGAATTGCTCGCCGCCTTCATCGTCGTCCTCATCTTCGTCGACTTCAGCAATGGTGTTGTCAACTCATGTCAGCTCTGAGAAGAATCGAAACGGTTTCGCAAAGTTCTTCTCTCGAACAAAAAGTGGGATACGGTTAGAAATTTAGTCAGGATTAGGTGTAAAGGAAACAAAAGAGTTGATTGATTTTCATTTGTTGTAAAAGATGATTTGAAGTTTCTTTTCAGTTAGGCTTAGGAGTCATTAAACACTCCGTTTAATTGGCACATTTGATCAAAATAGTCATCGATGAAAATTTCAAAATCCAAGCAACATCTAAGCAGTTTTTTTGAATGCTGTGGCAATGTTTTTAGGTGTTTCCAAAATGGTGTTTAGGATGTCTTTTACACAAAACTGATGCATTGGTGCTCTCTAAAAAGTGATAATAAAATTTTTAAAAAATCTTAAAAAAATAAAATGGAGAATAAATATGCTTCAAAAAAAGACAATGACAGTTGTATTACTTCACTAAAACAAAATCAAGAGAATTGCTCACCGCCTTTATCGTTGTCCTCATTTTCGTCAATTTTAACAATGGTGTTGTCAGCTCATGTTAGTTCTAAGAAGAATCGAAACGGTTTCACAAACTTCTTCTCTCGAACTAAAAGTGGGATGCGGTTAGAAATTTAGTCAACATTAGGTGTAAAGGAAACAAAAGAGTTGATTGATTTTCATTTGTTGTAAAAGAGGATTTAAAGTTCCTTTTCAGTTAGATTTAGGAGTCATTAAACACCCCCTTTAATTGGCACATTTTATCTTCAAAATAGTCATCAATGAAAATTTCAAAATCCAAGCAACATCTAAGCAATTTTTTTGAATGCTGTGGCAATGTTTTTAGATGTTTCTAAAATGGTGCTTAGGATGTATTTTACATAAAAATGATGCATTGGTGCTTTCTAAAAAGTGATCATAAAATTTTAAAAAAATATTAAAAAAATAAAATGGAGAATACATATCCTTCAAAAAAAGACAATGACAGTTGTACTACTTCACTAAAACAAAACCAAGAGAATTGCTCACCGCCTTCATCGTCGTCCTCATCTTTGTCAACTTCAGCAATGGTGTTGTCAGTTCATGTTAACTCTGAGAAGAACCGAAATGGTTTCACAAAATTCTTCTCTCGAACTAAAAGTGGGATACGGTTAGAAATTTAATCAGAGTTAGGTGTAAAGGAAACAAAATAGTTGATTGATTTTCATTTGTTGTAAAAGAGGATTTAAAGTTTCTTTTTAGTTAGAAGAGGAGTCATTAAACACTCCATTTAATTGACACATTTGATCTTTAAAATAGTCATCAATGAAAATTTCAAAATCCAAGCAAAATCTAAGCAATTTTTTTAAATATTGTGGCAATGTTTTTAGATGTTTCCAAAATGGTGCTTAGGTTGTCTTTTACACAAAAATGATGCATTGTGTTCTCTAAAAAGTGATAATAAAATTTTAAAAAATATATATTAAAAAAATAAAATGGAGAATAAATAATTGGAAAAAAGAAAAAGAGTGGGGTGAGAGAGGCTCGAACTCTCGACCTCAGGATAACTCAGTAGCTATGAGACCTACGCGCTAGCCAACTGCGCCACCACCCCTTGTGCTTTTTGCTTGATTTTAAAATTTAATGTTTGTTATGTGAGCTCTAATTGGACAGTTTTTTGGTTTTTGTTTTGTTTTGTTTTGCTTTTTTTTTTTTAATGGTCCATTTGAAGAAGGGAACTAAAAAATGGCGACTTTTTTTGGTCTAAGAAAAAAAAATCTTTTAATATCCCTATTAATTGGTAAACTCCAAGAAATATCATACGCACTTGCTAAACTTTACATATACTGCGTAATTCTAGCTATTTCTTAATTATCCGCAAATCCCGATATTTAATAAAATAAGAAAAGTGAATTTAGTTATTTTCCAATTTCTAGACGAAAAATATACATAGATTTGCTGTTAAAAATGTGGAAGAATGATTTATATATAGAGTTATACACCTTTTTGTTTAAAAGTCTAAAACTATCCAAATTTATTCTCACAAATTTTGTTGATTAAATGACACACGTCCAAAATACCCTGAACTTAAACCACTAGCTCATTTCCTTGAAAAAAAAAAAAGAAAAGGAATTTATCTCTCAAACAAATGCAAGGTACATACAAAAAATCCCGGTTTTGTCCTTTAACAAAAGCCAGTTAATTAATCCTACTTTGTTTGTAGAATTTAATTATATTGTGTATGATCATCACTCCTCACTAGGATGTGAATAGTGAAGGTTATTTGTGTGGAGGGCCGGAGGCTTGTCTGAGAACTGAGAAAGGGAGTTAACGACAGCTTTTGCTAAATTATACCAGTTAATTAGTTGGTCTTCATAATTGCTACCACACATTGGTTCCATGGTGTAGTGGTTAGCACTCTGGACTTTGAATCCAGCGACCTGGGTTCGACTCCCGGTGGGACCTTTCAATTTTATTAATTTCATTTCTTGGTGAAAAGGAATTTTTGAAAGGTGGTTGAAACAAGAGTTATAGAACAAAATACTATTGTAGTGTAGTGAGATTTTTCTTTTCTTTTTCTTTTTTTTTTTCCCCTTCTAGATAGAAGCTCTTCAAACATTGCATTGATGCTAGAGTAAGGGATATCTGGTTTAGAAAAACTGATAGTGATGATATCTCAAGTTCCAACTAGACCAATATATTCTGCTCGTTTAAAAGGACATTTACAAGTAATGAATTTAGGCGTTTAAAGCAATTATCTAGAATATGAGCTTTTGAGATTTTTGGTATGAAATCCTGTTTACAATTTCTTTTTTTTTTTTTCCCCTACTAGATGGAAGCTTTTCAAGCATTGCATTGATACTAGAGTAAGGGATATCTGGTTTAGAAAAACTGATAGTGATGATATCTCAAGTTTCAACTAGACCAGTATATTCTGCTTGTTTAAAAGGACATTTACAAGTAATG